GTGCTCCGCCCAAGGGGGGAGAGCCCGGGGGACTAGGTGCTCCGCCCAAGGGGGGAGAGCCCGGGGGACTAGGTGCTCCGCCCAAGGGGGGAGAGCCCGGGGGACTAGGTGCTCCGCCCAAGGGGGGAGAGCCCGGGGGACTAGGTGCTATGAATTTGTCCAATTTTTTGTGTTTTTTGGTCGATTGTGTTTAACTGCTGACGAGCTCGAGCAAATCTTAAATACTTATTCTAGAGTGGACTATATTCCAGAATCATTGACTGTTTTGTTAGAGATTCTTTGCCTTTACATTTTTTTGGTGGCTTTTTGTCTTTTGTCCGTCATTCGTAAATAATGGCCGGAACAATTTAAGTACTTCGTCAGCCAATCAGTTCTTTTGACCGGATTTCAGACAGATTTTTGTTATCAGTATAGGATTTCTGTCGCTGAATCGCAGACGTTCTTCAACGCGAAATGTCTCTAGCGGTGAAGAGTGAGGAGAAATGGATGTTTTTCCAGGCTAATTGGCTAAGATGTAAAGAAAATGATGAGGTCTGGAACTGCAGTTTTATCTCATAGTGGTTTGCAACGGCGTTTTCACAAGTAGGTTTATTTTTAGTTAAGCCTTTCCCGCGAATTGCTTTCGAAAAGCCAACCACTAGCAATTGCGTCATCAATGATAAACTTTTAATACGTAAGTAGGACAACTCCTTCACATTGAAAAAAAAAGGCAGACACTCGTGAGGAATCTTTAGAGGAGTCTTCTGACAGAACTTCAAGCGACAATTTCAGTATTTACACGGAAACTAGCAGTTCAGTCAGAGCAAGATTTGCAAAACCTAACCAAATTTGCAAAATTCACGCAAAGGGAATTAAATCTAAATCATCTTCGAAATAGCCGACTGTGAAAAGGTCCAAGCGAGCTACTAACAGTCTAAGCGACGATCAAATGGAGGAATTGACCTCATGGAACAGTTATTTTTCGCGGGAAAAGCTTATCTAAAAATAAACTCACTTGTAAAAACGCCGTTGCACGAATTTATGGCAGTTGAACGCTCCGGGTTATGGGCTCCTGCCAAAACTATGTACGTGAAAAAAGAGCAGGAATCCTTTTGCAGATTACGCGATTACCATTTTTGTATGTAACTTGGTTTACGTCCCGACAAGTTTTACTTGTAATTTTATAACCGCTTGATAAATTTTTATAAAAAGTTGACAATTTAGTTTACTCCCTTAAAAATCCAGTCACTGTTCTTCGGGTTTTCTTGGGTTGCCTGTTTCCCGCAGAGGCCCCTGGGAGCAGTGCCGCTGTCATGCGTAGTAACAGCACGAGGTAGGTTGAAGGACGTCCAAGATGTCGCCGCATCGGCGAAAGAAACGACGAGTGAAAGTGCCAATATCTTCTTTATAACATGTAAACCCGACCATGTCGGGAGGCATGCCGCTAGAAAGATGCTTCAAAGAAGCAGAGGAGACCGGAAGATTAAATTTAAGCCTGAAAAACCTCCGCGATTTTCCAGATCCGACGGACGATTGCGAACTTATAGATGTAATTGAAATAGGTGAGTGATAAGTGCAAGTTTTAAATATTGAATTGTGTTCAGCTCATCGCTGAATGTCGCTCTTTGTTGCTGTGATGGGGTTTGGGTACTTGCAGTATCATTGTTGGATGTTATCTTGTAGATCTATCCAAGAACAAGCTTTCAGAATTTCCCGCTGAGTTATNCTCATGGAACAGTTATTTTTCGCGGGAAAAGCTTATCTAAAAATAAACTCACTTGTAAAAACGCCGTTGCACGAATTTATGGCAGTTGAACGCTCCGGGTTATGGGCTCCTGCCAAAACTATGTACGTGAAAAAAGAGCAGGAATCCTTTTGCAGATTACGCGATTACCATTTTTGTATGTAACTTGGTTTACGTCCCGACAAGTTTTACTTGTAATTTTATAACCGCTTGATAAATTTTTATAAAAAGTTGACAATTTAGTTTACTCCCTTAAAAATCCAGTCACTGTTCTTCGGGTTTTCTTGGGTTGCCTGTTTCCCGCAGAGGCCCCTGGGAGCAGTGCCGCTGTCATGCGTAGTAACAGCACGAGGTAGGTTGAAGGACGTCCAAGATGTCGCCGCATCGGCGAAAGAAACGACGAGTGAAAGTGCCAATATCTTCTTTATAACATGTAAACCCGACCATGTCGGGAGGCATGCCGCTAGAAAGATGCTTCAAAGAAGCAGAGGAGACCGGAAGATTAAATTTAAGCCTGAAAAACCTCCGCGATTTTCCAGATCCGACGGACGATTGCGAACTTATAGATGTAATTGAAATAGGTGAGTGATAAGTGCAAGTTTTAAATATTGAATTGTGTTCAGCTCATCGCTGAATGTCGCTCTTTGTTGCTGTGATGGGGTTTGGGTACTTGCAGTATCATTGTTGGATGTTATCTTGTAGATCTATCCAAGAACAAGCTTTCAGAATTTCCCGCTGAGTTATCTGATTTTGTTATGATCGAGAAAATTGATTTATACCACAACACAATTCGAGGAGTTCCAGAGTCCCAGCTGAGCGAACTGAAATTCCTCCGAGTGCTTAACTTAAGGTGGGTGGCTGAATAAAAAGTGGCAATAAATAATTTGGTAATTTATGTTGAACACATGATAATCCGTTATAAATTAAGTTGACAAAAGGTCACTTATTTATTAAGGCTGATCTTAACAGTTCCCTTACTAAGCTTAATCCAAATCCTCTAGACAGGCTATGATGAGGATCATGTTAGCTTAAATCTTCATGTACTTATTATTATTATTTTAAATATTATTATTGTTATCATTATCATTATTATTATTTTAAAATTATTTTAGCCATCTGGTTTTCATTTGACAGTATTTCTATCAATTCGTCATTTACAAAATTTGGCCCTTCTCCTTGTCTTTCTTCTCTCAATTCTGGATCCAAGGGCAGCTCATTTCCAGAGTTGTTATTGTCTTCTCTTGATGATCTACTATCCTTGCGTCCACTCTTTTGGCCCTAACTTTATTATATTCTGCAAACATGGGAATATCCCAGTGGGCCTGCACATCCTAGCTGTTGTAGAGTGACTTTGGCTGCACTGGGGAGTACCAAGGTGGAACACTGTCAGTTAGCTTAAGATCTCATAGAAGCTCAAAAAATAACACCTTCAAGGCTGAGTTATGCCTTTCTAGTTATTTGCTCTGTGCTAAAGCTGAACAGCCAGCAAAGATATGTGGACCGCTTTCTGGGCACTTCCAACATAACTGACACATCACATCATCAGGTAAACAGGTCTTTATCTTCTTGCTGGTGTAGACTGCTTAGTCGGTAGAAGCTGCTCATAGAGCTCATACATTCCTGCCACTGTGTAAAAAGGGCACACAGACCACTCCCATAACCAAGCAAAACATGCCTTCTATCCAGACCTTGGTCTTCTTCTCTGGCCATGAGTAGCTTTCCTTGCCATTTCTCATTTTGGATCTTATCTTGACCCATTTCTTTCGTGGCTACGTTTAGCTCATTCTTTTCCTTTTCACACGAAATGTCTTTCCCATCCCTGTCCTTATACATGGGCTGAGGATGACAATTGTCTGAGGAGATCCCCATCACATTTGCATAACATTGAGCCTCCTTTACCAACAACTGGTGGTCTTTGATTGTGGCGTGCTCTTCAAACTCCCAAACCAGCCGCAGTGTACAGTATGTAGGTTCTTGATTGTTATATAGCTTTATAGCTGCTTTCACTTTGGTTTGCTTGTACTCTATCTCCACTGATATTAAACCACACCATCCTGCTTATTTATTATTATTTTTGTAATTATTATTTTATTTTTTACGGGACTTTGAAATGTTTTTTATGGAAACCCTGACCACTTGGAAGAATCATCCTTATAGATGGAGCCAAATAATGGCAGAAGGGGAACTCTCCCTTACATTATTGAGGCATTTGACAAAATTTATGTAGTGGTTGAAAACTCTAAATCAGGAAGAAGAATTGTTTCATTATCTTCAAATGAATGTCCTGCTGTGTCATCCTGGAGCATTTCTAGATAATCTGCTACAATGTATCAGTTTCCATTTTCCTGCCTGCTTTTTTGGCCAAGCAGTACTATGGATCAGAATTCATATAGTGATAACTCAGGCATAGATCTTGACAAATTTGGCCAGTATTGGTCAGATTTGTAATAACAACAGATAAAATAATAATAATGTGGAGCTGACTGTCATTCATTAGGCTTTTTGCAGTAATTAACGTACTCATTCTGCACTGTCTTGTAGTCCAGGTGCAGACATGACAATTAATCTGGTGCTTGCATAGTGAAAAAATATCATGCAAATTATGCATGATAATTTCATTTCCCTTCAATTTGGTTTGTAAAGCAGCCCAGTCAAAATAAGCTTGAAGCCAGCAAATTTGCTGCTTTCAGTGAAAATATTATTAGCTATCTACTCAAAACTTAGACCCACAAAGTATTTAGGAAAAAATTTAATAAAATAATGCACTTCATTTATGTGTCAATGTGCTCAGCACGAAAGTACTAATTGGGGACACTATTTTTATGTCTCCTACTGGAGACGTGACCGCCATTTTACATGGTCATCCGAACCACTGGAAGATCTAGCTGTTTGCAGGGCAAACGAAGAGCCTTCATTTGTCAGTTATTTAAGACCCTGAGTATTGGTCTGGTCCCAGGAACTGATTGTGTGACCTTCCCCGCTGAGGTCGAGCGCTCTACCGACTGAGCTAATCCTGCCACCAGCTCATTTCTCCATCATTAAAAACCACACAAATCTAAGCCTTTGCTCCCTGCTACCTTGGTTATCCTGCCTGCTATTATGAAACCTTTTGACTGGGCAGTGGAATAATTTATTACAATTATCCCAATATATACATGGTGGAGTTTTATCCTCGGTGTGACTCTTTCTCAGCTGAGGCCAAATACACCATGTCTTCACTGAGGCCAAATACTCAATACAAAATACAGTGTACCATCTTTTTGGCTACAAAGGGATATCAGTCCCACATCAGTGGACTCGTTGTATAAATACAGATGCTTTTTTGAAAAGCTTTGTTTAACATTTATTGTTTTCTTTTCTTTTCTATCTGTAGACGAAACCAGATAACCAGCTTTCCAACTGAGCTGTGCTCCTTACCACTGCAGGTTCTGAACTTGAGTAACAATAAGCTTAGCACACTCCCAGTAGAAATTGGGCTTTTAACATTATTACAAGATTTGGTGAGTTATACTCCATTCCTTCAAACATGAATAAAAAATTTAGATAAAATAAATTAATATTACCTTGCAAAAGTGCTACTGAAGAGGTTTGTGTGAATGGTCACACCATAGGATTTTAGTCCACAGACTTACCGCGCTTTTCTCCATCATTAAAAGTTAAAAACAGCATGAAACTTATGTCTACATAATGGAATCTCTACACTGCACTTGCTTTTACAGTGTTTGGGTTTTCCCATGAAATGTAAACAACTAAGAGCACCTGAAATATTTTGTGCATATGGATTGTGTAGTTACCAACATAGCAGAGTCAAAAGATCATGATATACCAGCAGACACTAAAAACAACAGACTAATAATTACTGTTACTACTTGCAGCAATAGTTTTCTGACAAATCATTGTATGTTTTTTTGTAACTCAACAACATTCCAGAAACATTTTTTTGTAGTCTTCACAGTTTTTTGAGTTTCACAGAAATAATTTGATATTTTTTGTTTTGGTTTATTATTTCTACACAGGATTTAAGTTCAAATGAATTAGTCCACTTGCCCAATAGCATGGGAGAGATGATATCTCTAAAGGATTTGAACCTACGGAGGAATCGCTTAGAAGTTTTACCCGATGGTAAGATAACTATCACTTACTTGTTTTATTTGTGTTTTTCATTAGCTGTTATTCAAAATATTGTTATGAAGAAGCTACAGTTGTAAGCTAGTCAAACTTTTATTGATTTTTACCTTCTTTCTCATACCTCCCAATAAGTTTGCCCATCCTGTAAGAAATTATATGTCATTGTCACCCCATCATCTCCTTGATTTTATTCTGGATTCTGTGCTTAAACATCAGTGAAAGGTGGTCTTTGCCTTAGTTACAAATCAGGGTTGTCAGAAAGTTTTGAAGGAGATGACTGAGTTGTCAAAGTAAGCAGCAAGTCCAGGGATATTTTATAAAAAAAAAACCATCAGGAATATTTTGTTTAAAAAAAACACCATCTGTAAAGAAATGCCAAGCAGAGTAGCTGGCTGATATTAACCAAGTAGGCGGTGATTTTCACCGGCAGCCAGCTACTTTTGACAACCCTGTAAATACATTGTTTTTCCGTTTTTATTTTGCAGAACTTAGTAAATTAAAATTGGTCAGGTTAGATTTTTCATATAACAAAGTGTCAGTAATTCCGCCTGCATACCGGCTTATCACCAGTCTTTCTGTGTTGGAGCTGGCTCACAATCCTCTGACCTCCCCTCCTGCCCAGGTAGGTGCATGATCTTCAAACCATTGCCTTTAGGATTGAAAATGAAGATTTGAAAACTTCTTAGTCTAACAATATTTTAAAGTTCATTATCTTTGTTTGTAACATAAAATGTTACAAACAAAAATAATGAACTTTGAAATATTGTTGATGTGGGCTTTGAGAGAGAGATTCGTTTGACATGAAGCTGTGATTTTGTCATTTACAAGTAAATTCTTCCTTAAATTTGAATTCCATAGCAAAAAAGGATGTTTTAAAGGCAATAATTATTAAAACAATGAGCTAGATAGCCATGACAGCCCCTTAAAGATGAAGCGATCTTGACTCAAAAAAGCTTGTCAAACATGACAGATTTGTTATAAAGGCAAAACTTACTGTAGTCAGATATTTAAAGATGTAAAAATTAGACTGGTTTGAAATATTTTAAAACCTAGCAAGAGTTTCACCAAACTAGAAACAGTTGAGCTGGGCTGTGGTGTTGCAGATGGTTGCAATGTAAGACAAAAGATTGGAAAGACACTGAATAGTAACCACACCACAACACTGACAAGAGCTAACCTTCAATGGTTATTGCAACACTTTTTTTTCTTAATACTTATTATCATTCGAAGCAACTTTTTCTTTCTTTTCATTGGCCAAGAGCCCACCACGTGACTTGCAAATAACTGCATACAAATAATGATCTGCTCATGCGCAATGCCATCCAACTGTGTTTGGCTGCAAATAATATTCTGCACATGCATAAAGGAAACGGTGCCTTTCTCCCTCTTGTGATCGCTCTTGCGTGAAAATGGCTGATCGCTTTGCTTCCCGAGGATATTCATTTAAACAACAAACTCAGTGATCGAATGATAAAACAATTATTGAACTCAGTTATCGCAAAATATTGTGATTTGTCAGTGTCTCGCAGATCAATTATTTGCCGAAGCAGAAGGCTGAGGTAAATAATTGATCTGCTCACCACAGACAAATCATGATACTTTGCTCAACCTCATCCAATAATTGTTAATTATTTATAGTTTCTGACATCATGGAGGTAATGTCGCAGAGCAATTAAAGTGCTGGAGTTAAAGTCCAGAGGCCCTGAATTCAACTCCCCCTTATATGCTAGCTGGATTTGTTGTTGGCCATGCTTGTAAATAGCCAAGTGGTTGGCGTGCTACCAGTGGGGATTCTTAACCCTATTATTTTTAATAATCTTTTTTGAACTAGTTGTTTCATTATCCCTGAAAAGCCCTTAAAGGGAGAGGATATTTATTTATTTATTTATTTATTTATTTATTGTTTAGTTAACTGTAAGCAGTTGACCTGGTTACAGTAACTGCACAGTGAATCCTCAAGAAATACCTTCTGTCTTTTGACCTTTTGCTACTTCAGGTTTGCACAAAAGGGAGGTTACATATTTTCAAATACCTCAGTGCATCTGCACATGAACAAGAAAAGGTGAGTCACTGTACCACTATCTGCTGAAATACCTGTAGGTTGTGTCTGCTCACCTCATTTTTGTAAGTTACAATAAATCCTCTATTAAACCTCATGGAGGTGGCATTTCAAGCCCATTTGGGGTAGGGGGGGGGGCTTATTTAATTTAAAAACGAGGATGGTATCAGTTCTCCATAAAGAACTAGAATACAAAGAGGAAAAGCTCAAGTGGAAAAGCCCAGTGTTAATTTTTGTCTTAATTGAATTCATAATCAGTAATTGCCCTATTTTTAAGGCTACCCTCACATGATGCCAGATGAATTTTTGATCAGCTGAAAAATTTGACCAGCTGCTTTGTTTACACAGGACCTTTCAATATTTTCACTCTGTTCACCCAGCACTTTGAAAGTCTAGACATCTAAATTTTCGCACAGTTAAGGTGGTTCCATGTAAAAACAAATCACCTAAATGCATGAATTTTCAACCAAAATGTCCAGTGCAGTTTGAACATAGTTTACTAAGTACTTTGTTCCATGTGACAATTTAACAATAACATTATTTGTGACACAAAAATATTAAACCTTCTCTTTCTGTCACGACCATGATACTGATTGCTTTGTTGAGGATATTTGTATTGGTCTAGAAGAGAAGTTTGTACAATCCCTACCCTAACAGTGCTGAATTCTCTGTAATGCAGTGATCTTGTTAGTAGAATCCACTCTCAGGTTAAACCAGAATTTTCCTTGTCTCTCATAAATGATAATAGGACCAGGGACCCCTTTCTCAAAAGGCCTGGTAACTTTTCGGGCCCAAAGGCAAATTTTGAAATCAAAACCTGTCAAATAGTTGTACAGTTTCTAGCTCACAAACTGGTCAATTTTGCTTTTCTTCATATCATTTTCAAAATTATTGAAACTTTTCTAGAGTACAAACACAGCAAACGTAAAACAGCTTTCTGTGCCCGAAAAGTTGAGGTACTTTCGAAAAACAGCCCCTTGGAAAGAAAGGAAATTCAGGACCAAGCTAGGTTGATTACTGGTTTATTCTGAGAATGATTTGTACCTAGAGTGGATGCACCTGCTTTTCCTTGGTTCCAGCCATTTGGTGCCTGCAGTCTATCAGGAAGTTTGATATAAGATTTCTGTTGATAATCTTTCAATTTTTTTTTTCTCCTTGTAGAGAAGAAATTTTGACAGAAGTCTTAGAAAATATCCTATGGCAAGATCTTCAAGGTCTGTGTTAATTCTGTTTTCACTTCAGCATGTCAGTCTTCCAACCTAATTTCCCTTTTGAGCACTCTTTTTTATAACCTGTACAGGTTATCATAAAGGGCCGCAAACTTCTACATTTTACTTTTATTATTGAGTGTAATTGTGGCTAGAAATAGTCTTATTGCGTTTCAAGTAGGAGCATGTGAAACCTATGACAAGGCCTGCATGTATGCTTGAGAAGAGTTTCGTCAAGTTTTCATCGTTGGAGTGAACTTCGAGCCATTAAGTTCAAAACTCATTTTGTTGATTATTAGCCTAAGAACATGCTGTTGTTTTGTCCCAGTTTAATAGATCAATGTTTATCTGACAGTTCTAGTAATCCTTTTTCTTGGCTATTCTTTGTTTTTGTATTTCATTTTACTGCCTTGGCCTTTATTTTACAGTGATGATACTCAGGAAAATCACAGAGTCAGAAAATCACTCTCTTTGGATTTAGCTCGGAATGCTTCTCAACGGGAGGTGAGTGCTCATGGCCTTTATACTGCAAGCATCCAGATCAATTTTTGAGCTGAAGTGCTCACATGATAAAATAGAGATCCTATATCTTGAGAGCCACAGATTCACATCAACTTAACTTTAACATACTATTTTTTAGAGGGGTCTGTTCAGCTGTCAGTAGTTATTTGTATCTGGAGTAGTCTGCCTCTGGATCAAATGACCTTGCAGAATCTCTAGTTCTAATTTCAATGGAGGCAACTATTATAATATTATTATTTTTACTAATCATACTCACTGTGCTTTTTCTTTACGAGAAATCAAGATCCTGTTTAGGAAACCAAACCCCCAGCCTGTCCAGCAGCACATCTCAGACTGTGTGTACCAAATAAGAAATTTCCATACTGGAAGATTGTTGTTTGGTTTTCTTACCCTGTTTCCTCTTCACTAGGCATTTGAAAAAGATGGTTATCGATCAAGTTCATTGCGAGACAGAGAGAGGAACAGACCTCCACTGTCCAATGTGTTTGAATCAGAAGAAAAAAGACGTGAAATTCAGAAGGAGATCGAAAGAGCTCAGCAACTACTGTCTGATGCCCGTGAGGTTGGAGAGGCAGGGGAGGTACCCTCAAGGCCGGATGAAGAGTTTAATGAAGGAGAGGAACTTGAAAAGGTTTGTTTTATTTTTCATTTTGTTTTAGCCTGCCTGGTTAGCCATTGGAGCATGACAGGCACCAGTTAGTTCTTTCGGTTAGTTTGTTTAGAGCATGCGAGCTAAATAATGTAACTTTGTCCACTGGTTTTGCTAATTGGAGTAGTTAACCTCACCGAATATGAAATGTTGTGTTTCAATACCAGAATGATCTGTTTTGGTGAGCAGTCTGGTCAACGCATGTTTGGTTTCTCACGTTATTCATTCTAGTTGCACACCAACAATGTTTTATAAAACTTGGTCAACTTTGGAGGTGCGGTGCTCTAGAGGTGCTTTGCACTCTGTTTTAGGAGGTTCGGGTTCAGGCCCTGCAACGGTCATTGTGCTGTGTTCTTGGGCAAGACACTTTCACTTTCACAGTATATCACCCCACCCAATTTTATAAATATGTACTAGTAAATTTAATGCTGGGGGTAACCCTGCAGTGGCTTGGTATCCCCTCCAAGGAGGAATTTATATCCGCAATCACTTCTTTCACAGAAACCAGGTTAAGCTCTGAGCTGTAACCTCACCTTACCTTACCAGTAAAATAAACAGTTAGATTTGTGACCTTTTCCTTCTGGAATCAACCACTTCTCATTGGCAACCACTTCTTCTAAACTATAAAATCAGTTTTCCTTTTCTCATTTGTTTTACTCATTTGGAGTGTTGACAGAATTCCTGGGAAGGCCAGCAATAAGTATACCACCCCAAGGAATGTGCATACAACTATCACACAGTAAATTTTTATTTGATAATGACAAAGTCATTAATTAACTTCCATTATTTCAACCACGTATGGGCCTTAAATTGCCATAACAAAGGGTGTTAACACAGTCTTTGTTACCACAGCTTTTTTCTCACTTTGGCACATGGAAGAGGGGATAGCTTTCATGAGAAGATGTTACGGCATTTCTTATGAAACTCTCACAAACAGCAATTCGCCTGACTTTAAGTTTGTCTGGGCTACTCTAGTTCTGTTTTTTATTTCTTTAAACATGAACTTTTGCTCTGCATAAAAAGTAATTTGAAACTGGAAGAATATTTTTTATCATTTCATTGTGTACATGTAAGAACCAGCATACATTGTGCCTTAACATTCCCTGTCTGACACTGTAGTGAGATTGTGTATTTTGTTGGCAGCCATTAACAAAACCATTTTAGTGAGCAGTATTTCATAGAACCTGATGCAAGCACAATGAAAATACAGCTGCATCAGAGAGACTAGAAAAAAATAAACGTGACAGCCAGAGTTTTTGAGCTATTTACATAATGCAAAAAATAATGATTACAATAAATTAATGATTAACTTAGCACCTTATAGGGCAGAATAATCAACGCTTATGATGTCATGGAACTGCTTTCAAGGCGTCTTGTAGTGTCGTTTCATGTGAGGTTGTTTGTGAGTGTTTCATTTTTTAATTCAGTCATTTTCAATATAATTATTTCACTTGAATTTGCCTTTTTATTTGGAGTTTTTAACTTAAATGTCAGGAAGAGTATGGTGTACGTGTATAAATCTTTACATTTTAGTCTCAAATTGAGCCATTTTATAAAATCACGAAAACATTTAGAGAGGGATTACGCATGGCAGGAAAACAAACAGGATTTTACACGATGTTCTCAATGATAGTGATGTCTCTGACTTTGAGCATGATTGTGGCAATAATGCAAGCAATATGTTTAAACTTAGCATGGACTCTGGTAGAACAGTAATTATTTTAATTAGCTTTCAAATGGAATATGGCAAACCATATTTAGTTACAATCTTGGATTTACAGGTAGATGATTTTTTTTTAACAATGACTTCAAAATTGTTATTTTCATTCAGTGGGTTCTGTCACATTAAGGGTTAAATAGTCCTGCACTGACCATCAGCTGAAGTTTTCCTAGCTTTGCATGTAAATAGTGACCTGTTTATCTCCTGTAACTTGGGATTGGTAATCATGTTATGTCTCATTAAAGATTTTTTGTTTGTGATTATTTGTGTGGAGTGCCTGCAAACTAGCTAGAAAAGCTGAGTGCTCTTCCACTGTGAACAAAAATTAACATTTACTTTTATAAAAGGACATTATAGAAAATTACTCCTAATCAAGAAGTGAATCTTGTTTGTTAATTGATCAATAAGGTCAATAAAAACTACTAGTGCCATCAACTGAGTTGATACAACTCACTTTGACTCTAAAGATGATTACTTGACAGGTTGTCAAAACGTCAGTCACTGTCAACAACAGTCCTATTCAGGACTATGTTCAAGTTGAAGATCATGCTCAACCTTCTTAGGAAAACAGTACTACTTTTCACTTCTGTGAGCATTTACAATGCAACCCTTGGCTCAGTGCGTCAAACAAGGCATTGTGTTATGTAAATCCCTTATTCAATTGCAGCCCTTCTTAATAACTCAACTTTTTAAATAGTACGGCTGTATGCATATTAGATTAGTTTTCTTGGTATGGAAAGCTATCAAGATTATTACTAGTCAGATGTATCCCTTTTTAAGACAAAGCTCTTGTAACACTTGATAATAATGATTAACTAAAAGTGTAAATATTTTTTTCTTTGATAAACGTTTAAATCTTAAATTAACTTTTTAATATTTTTATTGGTTAATAGTCACACATGCTTGCCCTCTAAATAATTTTGTCCTTGAAGCAAGGTGATTCAGATTAACTTAAAATAAAATTCATCCAGCTAAGTCCTAACCAGATTAACCTTTGTTGAGTAAAATTAAAATTGGCAAATTTAAAAGAAGAAAGGTGTCAAAGGCTCAAGTTTCTGTGTGGCCATTAACATTGCATTACTTTTTGGAACTAAGTTGTGAAGTGTCAGTACTTAATTCCAGGAAGTAATTCCTAAATGTTTGGCTTGCACAGTAACTTTTGCCTTTCCTTTTGTTGCAGATAAATGCTCAGCCTCTTCTGCAGCATTCTGTTTGGAAAAAAGTCTTCAGCAAAAGTGCTTGGCCCTTTGTAGCTGTTCTGTTGTACGCAATCCTCAATCCTGGGACAGTTTTCCTGTCCTTATTTGTAGCTGTGATCTGCATATTTGTTGTCTGGCTTTTCAATGAAGAAAAACACAGGAACTTGAGAGAAATTTCCAATCGATCTACTGATAAGTCTTCCCATTATAAATCACCTCTTGTGCAGCCATTTGCAAGATAGATATTTTTGAAACTGCCACCTCTAAGTAATGTTTATGTGAATATTTTGTGATTACCGGTAGTTTAATTTAAAGTTGTCGTGTTTCAAAAAATAACCATAACTTGTTCCTCCTTACCACCATCCTGCATGGAAATTCCAGTTTAGCCTCAAGAACTCCTTTTTTGTATGCTTTTATACTCCTACTCTTTCAGTGCCTCTCTATGGAGTGAGGAGATAGTGGCTGTTTCCTGAAAGTTGTAGACAAAATAGGTCAAGATATTCTTCATAAGAAGAGTGCTTTCAGCCTCTGTTTCATTCCCTAAAGTTCCAAAAGTAAACTTTAGTAGCCCCCATTTTCCCTCTAATACTATTTTGTGCTGGAAATTCTGAGATTTAATTAACTGCTGGTCCAAAGTCTCCCACAACTACATGTAATATATAAGCATTAAACTTTATTTATTTTTATTTAAAGTAACATTAAAAGATGAACCATATCTAATATTAAGGTTATTAATGTTACTCACAACAGTAAAAATCTTATTTTAATGAGATACCTCACCTCAAGACAAATGGCCATTTTATCGTCTGGTCTAGTACTTTTGAGTATGTATCTTTGACAAATAGTGTCCAAGGTTAAAAAGGTTTGTGTCAGATATGGACAGCAATGCCATTAAGAGTATATTATAATATATAAGAGAAAATTTAAGTTAAAAAGAAAGTAATAAGTTATTGCCATGTATTCCTCTTTAAACCATATTAAATTATATTCCTCTCTAAAAAAATACTTGATGTGTATCACAGAAGCTGTGTATGGAATTTTTCTGAGATTTTTACTTGCATTAATCCAATGTCTTGAAAATTAGGCAGGAAAAACAATAATGCTTAAAGTATTTTGTACTCTAATGTTGGTAAAAAAAAAAGAGCATATTGGTGCCATTAGTATTAAAATAGTGTGGGAAATATATTGACAGCAGTGATGGGCTTTTTGGGCTAACATGTTTGGATTTCCATACAAGTTACACAAAAAACACTGGTATGACAGAAAAACAAATATTTCCTGGAGCCAGTGAATTAAAAATGTAATCAAGGACTATGCATTTTGATGGCTATGTTTAAGAAGAGTTCTTAGATCGTTTTCTGTACTGTGTTAAAACTACACTTGTAGTGGTAATAACTTTTAGTACCTTGATTTAATAAATATTATTTTTGAGTTATTGAGTAGATAAAACTTAAATTACCAATAGCAAAAACACCACATCTCTCCTTGTGGTGTGAAAACCCAGTTACTGTAAATGCTCAAATTAGCACCCAGATTCAAATACATGCCTTCGTTAAGTTAATACCCCCCACCAATCCTACAACTATGAAATAAGTTCTCCATTCTAATACTCCCTTTTCCCAAGAAAAAATGAACTAAGGTAATACATATACAGTATTTTAACCTCTTTGACAACAATGGGTGAGGATAGCAATACATAAAGTAAGGAGTGTCCCCTTTCAAATTAGCACCCCTTGCATACCAAGTGATTTAATACATGCTAGTGCTGGTTGTTAATTCAAGCATTTACAAAAGATATTGTAGAGAATAAATCTTAAAATTCTACCACTCGCATTAGCCCTGCTGTCTTTTACTGAAGAAGATTGATGGATTCAGACAAAACATTATTTTGAATTGGACTCAAGAACTTAGATCATTCTGAGTTAGAGAGTTTTGTGAATATACTACTTTACTAAAAGAGTCGTACAGAAATGTGTGAGCAGCGCTTGTGTTAAAGGGTTCACTTGATACTTTTTCTGAAAGGTTGCACCATTTGTTTCAGCATGTTAATACGTGTATAAGTTATTAGCATTGAGTTAAGTTATGAAGTAAGTTATTAGTATTGATATCATAAGCAATTGTATTTATAGAAGGTATAGTATGTTTTGTCCAAGTCTTATTCAAATTAGTGTTTATTGTTATGCTAGATTTATCTAACTCATTAATAAAAGTGAATTAATTATTCAAAACTCTGTTTTAAAAGAATACCCCTATTTTTGCTTTCTCGTGATTCAGAGGTACAACAGAATTTAATGTACTATTAAATTTTACTATTAAAGTAAGTTATAAAAGTTTTCCATCCGACTTTATTGTGTTGTTATGTGAGGAGTTTCATAAAACAGTCCATGTTTACTGTTTTGCCCTTTATTGTTGTTGAGAAGTTTGTTTTTACAATCATAGATTAGACTGCCTGAAGTCTGTTTCCTCTGTCTTCTACTTTTTGTTTTTCGTTTCTAAAGAAAATGACTCAATGAACCATTCAGGACCAAGTTTCTCCTTGCCCAAAGGAGCAAGGATTAATACAGTTGTTTAGTAAACTGCCATCTGTGCAGGAGGTTCCAAGTTTGATTCCCATGTGAGACCTCAAATCCTTGTTTTGACTTCTTTCCTTTCATTGTACCTGTAAGTAGCTGTAAACACCTGTGAAACAGCACTGAAAGAAAGCGGGTGAGGGGTGAATGAGCCCATTGTTGGTCAGTCTAACATGTACTGTTAAGAGTTACCAACATAAAATAAGGACCTTTACATTGACGTTTAGGTCTCCGCTCCCCTGTTTCCTTCCTCAGCCCTGGACTTAGTGCTGAATATCCTCTGTTAAAGCCACACCTTTGAATACATATTTCCCTGGTGCATTTTGCCTTAGGGAGTGCATACAATAATACAAGGTAGAGACTTGGGTCACCAGTTTAAGAAAATAATATCCATGTACCGGTATTTTGTCGACCCAAGCCTTAAGTTGGCACCTTCTTTCACAGGAAAGCAGGGAAGGTCTAAAAGCCTCAACTTGTTGTGGCCACCACTGCCACGCGGGTGTTTTGCTTAATATTATATGGCAGTTATGTTTTACAGTCAAGGCAGGGCAAGCATACCTCCCTAGATTTCATTAATGAATTGATCATTTGAAAAATGAAGCCATTAGTTGTTGCTGCAACCAGTCTCAAATTCAAATCTGCATTCCTAATTCTGTGATGAGCAGTGAATTTTTCATCATAACTCCTCTGTATTCGGTCAGATTGAAAAATCTTTGAATGGATAAAATCGTTTTGCAGACATTTGCATCAAATTCAAGAAAACTGAGCTGGCAAAAATTTCATGACTACCTCGGGTGTGAATTCACTGTTCATTACATAATTATGCAGAGTGCAGATCTACAACTACCGATGGATTCAACCTTTGAATAATAAATTCATTAATACAATCTTGAGGGGAGGGGGGGGGGGGTACACTTGACCTGTCCTGACTGTTATGTAGTATAAGTAATGTCCCTGATTCTGTGTAATAAAGATACCTCAACAAATGGTGGATGGATAACATGTTCAGTTTCTTTGTTTTCTGTACATTTTTGTAAAAAATTGCTGAACAGTTTAAAAATCATCAATCTCAGCATTTAGAGAACCCATTACAGTCTACTCTCTCTTGACGGACACCTCTATAAGACAGACTCTGATAAAATGGACACCTAGAGTTAGTCCCTGCCTTTCTTTACTCCCTTTTATTTTGACTCTCTACAAGACAAATTTCACTTAATGTCAGTTCCAAAGGTGGCTGTCTTGAAAGACAGTTGACTGTCATGAGTACAAGGAAGAGTTAAGAAGTTTTTACTTTGCTTTACCAGCTTTTCCGGACACAGGCCTGCCCAGAGGGAATGTACACAAACGGGATTCAGGTCCCATGCGAGGTGCCATTCCTACCCAATCCCACAACCTATAAGGGTTGACCACACCACCGGGGTCTATGACCCCTACTCTTTTGAATAGTGATGTGGGTTCTTTTACATCCCACAAGAACAATCAGTGAAAGTGCTGTGAGACAGAACCTACGGTTTTTTGTCCTTATCCCAGAAGACTAGAAAGTCTAACCATTTGCAGATCTCATTACAAAGGCAGCACTTTCTTCTCAGTTATTTAAAGACCCCAAGTGTTGGTCCAACCGGGGTTTGAACCCGTGACCTCCTGCTCAACAGACTGGGAGTTTGAAAATTTAAGAAGCCCCCAACCTTCAAAGGGTATCTCCCCCCATAATAAGCTAGCTTTCAGTCCAGAAGGACTTAATCCTTCAAGCCCCAGTATCTATATACAAACTCTCCAGACTGATGTCCATACATTTCCTTAAAAAAATTAGTTGAGAGAATTTGATTAAAAGATCAAAGATTGATCTCTTTGTAATCAATTTATTAATTCTCATAAACTTTGCTCTTGACAATCTCTGGATATTGTTAGGACAAAATAATATGATGTTGGTCAATATTGGGACTTATAGGGTTAAAAGACTTAAATAGCAGAAATAAAATAAATGGTAGCCCTGCTGAATATTGCAGCTGACTGTCTGTTCAGAGCTGGCAGATGATGATATTGATATTACTTCTTGATAATTATTTGATAATTTTTTAAAACAGGAATTCTTACAAATCGAAGCTGAACAGCGTAGGAAGAGGGAAGAGGAGGAGAGACAGGTAGAGGAACGAAGAAGTGCTGCGAGAAAATTGCAGTCACAACATGAAGAGTTACAACAACAGAGACAAGCAGAAATAAGAAGGAAAATGGAAGCTAAGAATGGCACTCCTGAACCAAGGTAATGCTGTTATCTTTGAAAGTTTCATCCAGTTTTTCTTAAAAACCTTTTCATTGTTTGTCAACAAGAACCATACGAGACATACAGTAAAAACCCGCGACTAAGAACCTGTTAGGCTAAAATGTGCCAGTTAGGCCCCATCTATACAATAACCTGTTTAGCCTAAAATTTGAAACAAGTTCTTATTTTCTAAAATCTCTAAAAAAAATTCTGAACCCTTGGGCAAGGATTCATGTGGTCATTGCTTTCAGTCCTTCTTCTCATAATCATTTCTACTAAATACTAATTTGGTATGCAGGTTTGTTACAAGCCAAGGGTTTTTATAACAAGAACCACAACAACAATAATGATAATCTTGATTGTACTAGTAGTAATAAATAAGTATACAGTGCTATAGGGATTTTAAAACTTATTCTAATCAATTCCCTTTGATTTTAATTCAATATTTGTAGGAAAGGATTTGGTGGTGGAGATAGTGGGAAGCCTCCGGTTCCACCAAATCGCCCAACCTACAAAGTACTAAACAGGTCTGGCTCAGCCAAGGAACCAACGTAAGAAAGTCAAACTTTTCAGTTGGAAAGTAATTCCATGATTTAGGCTCTTGTTTTTTGAGTGAAACTTTTAAGGCCTCTGTGTGAAAATTTGAGTGAAACCTTTTTGGAGTACCTTCACATGGTACCGTTAGTTTTATGAATTTTACATGAACAAAATAATCGATGATAAGTTTTGAAGCTTGGCAATAAAATTTAGGGGCTTCTAAATGAAGACCCTTGTCACCTTCCAGCGTGATTGTAAATTGAGATGAAAACAAAATTCTTGTTGTCTTTTTAGTTCTCCTCCTATGGAATCTCCAGATGTAGCTTGGAACAGGCAGGTGGGTATTTTTTTTTTCACCAGTTTACTTGGCTTTTCTGTTACGTTTGGTCTGTCAACTTTTTGTTGGGTGAAATCATGAGCAGTGCAGGGTTGGTTCTTATTCTTTCTTGGATTGTTAAACTAATTCAGTTATATTTTACATCTTTATGTCATTTTATCCACTGTTTTTTTGTAGGCTGAGAAAACAGCCAACATCCTACCCAAACTTCCCTTTAATTAAGTGCCTCCCGCAAGCAGTAAGAACAACTGAAATTAGGGGGTTAAAGGAAACAGGGAGAGGACATGGTATTAGGCTTCATCATTGTGCAGAGATGAGCCAAACACATACAATCCTACTGACAACAACATGAAGAAAATAAGAACGGATGTTGAATTATTTGAAACAAAGTCCCTGCAAAATGACGTCTGACGAATGAGTGCAGAAATTCCATACTGATGACGTGTCGTTACCTCATATCTGGGTAGTGCATTTGATTGGTTGAAAATTTGCTTCATCCAATCAGAAACACTACCCGGATCTCACGCGTCATCAGTATGGAATTTTAGCGTTTGTTTCTCAGACGTCATTTCATGGCGACATCAGTAGTGGCGTAGTGACATGTAAGCTGTTTTCTCAAGCTAGTATTTTTGTACAGGAAGAGGAACTACGTGCAAGGAAGAGAGAAGCCCTAATGCAGCAAAGCAGGAGAGAAGCTCAACTGTCTAGACTTAAATTTGAGGAACAACGCCTCAAGGTAAGGCAGGCATGCTGAAAACATATCTCCCTTAAAATCTTTTAGAATCCTCTTGTATTAAAGCTCCCCTGGCGGGATGGGTGTGTGTGTGTGGGGGTGGGGGGGGCTAGGCGGGTCTTATTTATTTTAAGCAAGTCTGGGGAGAGAGGGCTTATTTGAGATGGGGCTCTTATTTAATTTAGCAAAATGCGTTGCCAGAAGCAAAAAAGAAGAAGAAACATTTTAGAGTTATGGTACCCTACATCCTGTTTTGGAACAGGCAGCAAGAAATAAAAAAACAACGACAACAGTAACAACAGACAACCTGAAGATGGTTTGAATTCTCCACAAAGAACAAGAACGTTGAGTGGAAAATCTCAGGTACATGAACTTGGCGGTCGTTCAGCTGAAGATCAAAAACAAATACGAAATCCCAGCGTGTGAATTAACCATCCCGGATCAATCCACTTGAAGTGTTACAGTCGAGATTAATTAAGACAGTCTAAATTGGTTGTGAAGAACAAGGGGGGAGGGGAGAGGGCTTAATAACGTTGTTCCTCTAAAATACAGAGTACTTCAGTGTTGGTAAGGGCGTTGCTGGTCTTATCGACACAGCCTGAGGCTTCTGTTTCTCATCTCTCCCACATTTTAACATTTTTAGCCTGAAAAAAGATAATTAATTTTTTTTAAAATAGAAATGTATTCTTTATTTCGACTTGTAGGGTTTTCCTTTTGTAAACTGCATTAAATATAAAGCGCCTTTTTATCCAGACCACATTATTTGGACACAAACTTAACAACACGTGTGATTCGCTAAACTTATTAGTTTGTCCGCAATTTCATGGCCCAGTGGCGGTCGTATTTTAGGGGCCGACCATTTAACTCTTGAGGCGGGGGGGAGGTTGATTTTGAAAAAAAAATTCCTGCAAGCGCTTGTCGGAAGAAAAAAATTGCATGCAGCACAAATTTAATAGAAAGCTTATGGGAAAAAAGGGAACAAATTATCCTGCCCACCAGATTGCTAGAAAAAAAAATTCTCGATGAACAGAAATCCCCCCTCCCCCCCCCAAGAGTTAAATGGTCGGCCCCTTAATGGTTATTTCAGTTCAAACAAGTAGAACTTAGATTTGCAGCCAAGAGGGCCATGTCTTAAAGCTTTGTAAGGCCAAACGTTCTTTTGTTTTGTTTATTTGTTTGTTCGTTCGTTTTAGTGCACCATTTTTCGTAGATGTCTAAAATTATCATGAGCATCTCATCAATTTTTTTCCAATAATTTATTACCTATTTTGGTGTATTTTCTTTGTAGCACGCGACAAATGTTCGAGATACATCAAGTAAATTGGTAGGTTACCTCTTATTAGGTTCTACATTTATTATCATTTCTTGTAAGCCCAGTGAAATCTCTGATTTCATTTATCACGATCACGAACAGGATGTGGGTGAATTAACCCTTTTTTTTATTATTTTTCATGGGAAAATTTCAGTGTGCAATCTAGCCTGCGAGCCAGCTCTCCAATTAGGGAGGGAAGCGAGCGCGAGACGACGCACGCGTGAGCGGCGTCCCCCTTTGCGTGCGGCTCTCGCGTGACTTGTCGCGACTCCCCCAATATGGAGAGCTGGCTCGTAGCTAGACTTTCTCAAAGTCCTTCGCTTTTCATTTCCGGTTCCGGTAGTTGGCCCCAGCGCGAAGGACTTTTATCTCTCTCGTTCGCTTTTGTCGCAGAAAACTACCGCTCGCGCTTTGCACTCGTGAAAAAATTTGAGCTCGACTTGTTGGCAAGTCTAGGTCGTAGCCTATGTGCAATCCTTTACTTGACACAAGCAAAATATCCAGAGACTCGAGACTGTTCTTGCCATTTTTTCAAAGTAATAATTTCTAGTGTTGAAATGCCATTTCTCTGCAGTACTAGAAAATTGGGTTTTAGAGGTCTGCTTGTTTGTTCAGCCCAAAAATGAACAAGATGATGATGTTGGCGCATGTTAGGTTTTGATTGTAAAAGAAAAGTAATTTGACTTGTATTTACCACGAGCTGCTCATCTTATTTTGCATTTTGAAGTCACAGTCAAGTTAATTGTTCTTTCTTTTTATGTCAGAGGTTTGCTGGATCTGGAACTGGTGGAACAACAGTTTCTTTTGAAGGCAGTGAGACTTCTCAACCCAATGCACAGGACAAAGGGGAATGGGAGGTGAGTTGGATTTGGTTCGTCTACGAGTAGTTTCGCCAACGTCTTGTTCGCAAACCTCCTAAGTTGTTTCGCATTTGTGTTAGGTTAGTTCCCTTACTGCTTTCGCCTAATCAGTGGCTTAAAGAACGAGGTGCGTACATGTATATCGGACTTTTTCGTGTTATGGCTGAAAGAACGAGGTATATACCCGCGCAGTGCTCGTTTGGGTTTTAAGTGGAACGACTTGTGACGTTAGTGAACAGGACGTTCGCGAAACGACCGGTCACCGTAGAGATATAAATCTAAACTGGCTCACCTTACTCTCAGGAACCTATCTTATCTCATTATATAAGTGTCTGTAAAGATGGATGAAAAATGATTGTTTATATCCTGGTTTTAAAACTGCTAGCTTGACAGTTGATCCATTTGAAGTGAACACTGAGTTATACTTGTGATATCCTGGCTAAAAACCTACACCCCACCCAGACACCTTTTGCTCCATGATCGCTTCGACCGTTTTCTGAATCACGGTAATTGTAATCTTTTTATGTTGCAGGTACATAATTTTACAGCAGATAATGACTAATTTTGATTGTTTTATATTTCAGGAGTTAGTGTTCGCAAACATTCAGACGCGAAAACCGGCCTCTCTAGTGCGTTCCCGTAAGTATTTGTTTAAACCGCGGTCTAACTGGACCAGCCCGCCCACGTACAATCCTGTACGACAGTGACTGCCGGCAAACTGTAATGCAGTTTGTAGTCACTGTCGTACGAGGGAAGGGGGAAGAGAGGCTTCTCAAAGGAAGCAGCGCAGCTGAGTAGTCAGAGCGTAAGACTTGCAATTTTGAGGACCGCGTTTCAATTTCCTGTCCTGACCACTGGCTCGAGCTGTTTCTTGGTCGTTCTGTGTTCAACTCCTTGGCCAGGCTTGTAAGTAGCCAACTAGTTTGCCTACTTCCAGATGGGATTCTTAACCTTGTCATGAAGTAATACGTGTGAAGTAATAGTTTTCATGCTATAAAAATTAATGCTGAAGAGAGTGAAAATTGAAAGTATTCTTTTTAAGGTGATGTTGTTTTCATTTTCAGTACCAGCGTCTTTCAGAGATAAGGCCAATCCAAATTTTACAATCAAGCGAATGTACGACAGTGCTCGAGAAGAATTTGAACAACTTGAAAGACTACGGGAGGTTAGTTATGTGGCTGTTTGTTAAAATCATATTGCAGGTATGGCATTGTAGTTGTGTGTTGGCCAGTGACGGTCCGATATGGCCCCAATGTCATCCATTAACTGGAAAGACGTGAGTTTGAGACATGTTTTTAAAGGGAAGAGTTAACAATTATGCTGCAAATTTTTTGCCATCATTGGCTTCCTCTTTGTATGTTAACGGCATAGACGAATTGTTACTTTTTTTGGTTGTTTAATCCACAGAGTATTGAGAGTCGTCTGAAAGTCACCTTACCAGATGATTTACTGGCGTCACTTGCTGATGGTGTAGTACTTTGTCATCTTATTAATAACATCAGGAAAGGAATGATACCTAGCATTCACATTCCCTCAGCAGGCGTGGTGAGTGCAATGGTAACTCATATTAGTGAATGCTCTTGCGACAAAAGACTTTCTCCGAATTCCAAAAACCGCCATCTTTCTAAATGAAAGTAGTCATGTGTTAAACCTTTTATTTTTTTGCATAAGAACAGAATATCCTTTTGATATCCAAAGCTTCGTACTTTCCCTCGTTTGAAACAGAGTCTGGGAACAACTCAGAAATGTTTTCAAGTGTTAATTTGAAGAAAGGCTGAGTGCTGATTGAGGCGCTGTGTATTTTAAATACACATGAATGGTCATCTTATTTCTTGTTGCTTTGCAGCCTAAACTAACAATGCCTAAATGTCAGAAAAATGTGGATTATTTTCTTGAAGCTTGCAGAAAGCTTGGAGTTACCAAGGTAAACAAAAATGTCTTTTGACAGTGTATAGAAAGCAAGTTTTAAAGATACAACGGGTTCAGTTAGCCTGTAATGCAGGTCAGCGCTCAGTGTTGTCGACATCTTTGACTATGAAAACGTAAGGAAATTTAGGGGAGTTGAAAATAGCAATCCACGTGGAAGACCTTATTAGGATGACAGAGCGAATTGAGGGGAGAGGGGTGGAGGAAGAAAATACGGGTCAATCTACCTACCCCTCCCCTAACCCAACATTTTGCCTTAAGTGAGAAGTAAGTGTTAATGTTGACTTAGGGAAGGGATAGGTATGCAGTTTCCCAGAAACCTAAATTAATCCGAAAATGCTTCTTTCTCTCTACTTTGTCTCCATTACTCCTTGTGGTTTTTGGAGGAGCTAACTTAAGAATCTGCGCGCCCCAAGAAAGTGCACGTTTTGCGGGCTAAGATGTGTTGGAACACTAGACTACTTATTTGTTTACAAGTTAGTCTTGTTCTGAATGGAACTGTCGCTACGGTTTAATGGCATAAGCAGCTCGTTTAGTATAGCCAACATCATCCCTTCTTCAATTTGCAGTAGATTCGTGCGACTTTTGGGACCTCGTTTTCATTTCATTTTAAAAACTTATCAATAAATCCACCGGGTAAAAACTATTCCGATAAAGTTTTAGTTCCCCTCGCTCCAATGCACGTATTCAGCCAATGTGAGAAGTATTTTCTTCTAACCCTTATTTGAATCAAATGCGTGAGATTTTCGTTTTGTCATGAACGGGATTTCCGAGAACGTCCCAGCGACTCCCAGAGATTTCCGAATGTTGTAGGAAATTTCCCAAGATGTTCCGTCACCGAAGCTATTTAAAATTTCTTACATAAGGTGATCCTGTCTTTGTTTTCTTTGTTAGGATAAGCTCTGTACACCATCCGACATTCTGGAGGAGAAAAGTCCGCTTAGAGTTTGCCAGACTGTAGAATCATTACTGGAACATGTAGATGGGGGAGTATAGCAGCAGAAAACGGACGCGGTTGCTGTAAATCAGAAATTGTACCGATCAAAGCTATGTGGCAACATAGCCGTAACTTCCAATATCTAAGAGTCAGTTTTATTTAAAATTAATGAAAAGGAGCTCGTCATCACCAGCTTCCTTTAATTGTCTGAATAAGAGTACTAGTGATTGTTACCTTACGTGTAAAAAGTGGTTATGTTAGTAGAAAAGGAACAAAATTGAGGTTTTGGGGTTTGTAGATATCCCGTTAAGAGTCCTAGGTAGGACTTTTTACGGCTAATTCTGACACAAATTTATTATTGTATGTTGTTTCTGCATGGATCCACGAGTTCCGTGGAAGGTCCGAGGCTAGCCTGGCTAGTCCGAGGCTTGCTTTACGCCTTGCAAAGAAATAAATTTTGACAAGTTTTTGCTTATAAAATAAATTCGAAAGAAATTCTTTTTTTTCTTTTGCAACAGCACAATACTTACAGTTTTTCTGCGTATCTTTTTTGTAGACTTTGTTGAGCGCGTCTGTAAAAATGTTTAAACAATTCTGAAAATGATACTAAAATTTTAAAAATTTTTTTATAAACTAGTTTGTACCGTCTGTATTGTGAAATAGCTTCCTCGTTTATTCAGTTTCATTCGAACTGAAAATTCTACAGTTATTATCAAATGCGGATGTCATGATATTCCAAGAACGTGTTAAAATCTACTCGGAGTGGTCTGTCGTCCTAAATCAGTTTATGGTGGTTATAATTACAATTTACCCCCGGCCTTGTGTTAAACCTGTTTTAGGTTGCTTTTAATAGGTTGAATTTGTTGACGAATCCCGTAAAACCTGAAAATACTAATGTTTTTCGATCAAAATGAGGTTGTTAGGTTATCTTGTAACGATCCTCGGATTTTCCAGCTTGGGATAGAGGGATAAAGTAAAAACTCGGTACGACCAAAGGTTCAAAGAATACTCTTTCAAAAATATTTGTCGCGCTGATTTTGCTTCATCCCACTTTGCAATTTTCAGAGAACTAGCCAAAAACTTTGGGAGGGACCTTACAAGACCAAACTGAGCGCGTAGCTGACCAATAGGCCATTTGCAGGTGCTCGGTCACGAGATACAGCCAATTAGATCACTAGTCAGTCGGGCTGTGGACCCAAGTCCGGCGCAGGGAACGGTTGTATCTTGGCGTTGTAAAAACTATTGTGGGAGCTTTGCATTGTGGTGTTATATTGCTAAGGTCTTTTCAGTTTGTTATATTGAGTCGTTCGGTGATCGCATTATACGCCGTACCAAAACGCTGTCAGGAAACGCGCAACGGTACCAAGTTTGAGAAGCGTTTAACCTTTACCGATGGCGTTGAAACCCGCGCAACCGGTGCCAAAGGCGGTTAAATTTAAACAGACGACCTTAGCCTGCTTAGTAAGCATTTCCAATCTTCTCAAGGAACTCGCGCGGAAACGCGTGCTGCTCAGAGCTGATGACCTGCATCTTGTGATGTGAAATAAGCAACCCACCTTGAAGCAATCGATACTCTGCGAAATAAAATGTACCGTCTCTGTCAAGTACGGAAATATAGCATTCAATGCGGCGAAAGACGCGCAGGCGGAATTCCACTGTTGGTTTGAATTTGCTTTTTGGTAAATTAGAAAAGTAGCGTCATGTTACTACCCAAGGCGACCAGAAGTTAATCCAAAAATGACGCACCTGTTTTCTTGCACTTGGTACCTGCTTGATTGATCAATTTGGTTCGAACTTATTCATTGTAGAGTTTAAAAAATTTTGCTTTCTTGGCCTTCAACTTAAGTATGACAAAACCGTCTTTTGTAGAAAGAATGTCAGATTTTACAACTGTACTCGAGATAGTTGTAAAAGCAACCAGTGCTATTGGTAAATATTCTTGTAGTTTGAATTGAAATACCAGTACAATAATTATTATTTCTCAGTGAAGTGAGATGTTTTTCTTGTAAAGTGGTAATGATAATCTTGTCACTATTTTTAAAATTTTTCAAGTACAAACCTCACCGAAAACAATAAAAGTTATATCTACTCTGTCTTAGAATAGAGTGTGTGAGTTTTCTGCATTCTCAATCTTGTTTCCATGTGGGGGTGGGGGTGGGGGGGGGGAAGGGGGGTGGGGGCATTTACAAAATAATGAGGGTGGTGGTACTTTTGAGACCCTTCACTGTAACCATTTCTATCTAGACTGTGAGCACTCTCTTTCCCTCGACAACCAGTGAAAGCACTCGCAATAATGAAGTGTACCAGCGGAGAGGCCACGGGTCGCGAGTTATGCAGGTGCTTGTACAGCTTGCAGCTCGCATACCTGCATTGTAGCACACGCTTATATTAATTTTCAAGCAAAAGAGAGACTACTCGCAGTCTATTTCTATCTGATCCTATTCCAGACAACACATCAACCATCTCAGAGGTCTGAATTCTAATTTCAATATTATTATAGACCAAATTATCCAAACTACCAAAAATAATTCAATATTAAGTGTCTTGGCAAGTGCCCTTTGCTTGTACAAAGAAAGGATTTCCACTGGACTTCTCATTTTTATCGAGCTTTATCTCTCAGGGTTTAGACCTCCTTGATCTTGCTAAAGTCAGACCTCCGCTAACAGCCACCTTTTTCATCCCGGCAGAAAAAAATCCATACATTGACTCTTGTTTAAAACCTCTCTACAACGGCCATTTTCTTCTCTGCCCAATGTGGCCATTGTAGAGACATTCCAACCGTAAATCGATATCCAGATGTCCTGGGAAAAAATGCCAAGG